TATATCTGTCGTATACATATGTGTGTGTGTGTGTGATTCATATCTATCTATCTATATCTATGGCTAGATAGCTCTTTGTCAGGAGGGCTTTGATGACATTTTCTTGCCCTGGTGAAGGGAGTTGGACTGGATGGCCTTAAGTATGGGGGTTCTGTGTGGGAAGTTTGCCCCAATTGTGTCGTACGTGGGGTTGAGCATGTTCTTTGATTGTAGGTGAACTATAAATCCCACTAACTACAACTCCCAAATGTCAAGGTCTATTTCCCCCAAACACCATCTGTGTTCATATTTGAGCATATGGAATATTTGTGCCAAGTTTGGTCCAGATCCATCATTGTTTGAGCCTGCAGTGCTGTCTGGATGTAGGTGAACTACAACTCCCAAACTCAAGGTCAATGCCCACCAAACGCTTCTAGTGTTTTCTGTTGGTCATGGAAGTCCTGTATGCCACATTTGGTTCACTGCCATTTTGGTGGAGTTCAGAATGCTCTTGGATTGTAGGTGAACTATAAATCCCAGGAACTACAACTACCAAATGACAAAATAAAAAAAATTGAGTGAAGGACATACATTGTGTTGTTAGGTGTATGCCATCCAAATTTAGTGTTAATTCGTCCTGTGGTTTTTGAGTTCTGTTAATTCCACAAACAAACATTACATTTTTATTTATATAGATTATTCATTTTTGTAGTTCAACAACAGGAAAGTCTGAAGAAACATTGAGAGTAGGGAGAGGAAAGCAGTTGTCGCTTTGAGAACACACCAGCCAAAGTGTTTCATTAGAGAGAAAGTGAGAAAGAGGCTCATTTTTGTAATGGTTTATGATTTAAAGACGGACTGAATTTAGGAAGCAAAGGAGAAGCAAGAATTTAAAAATCAAAATTTGATACCATTGCCTACTTTAATCTAAGCCTTTGATGGCATAGCACAAGTTGAAGGTTATGTCTTGTTTGAAATGTCCCTGCTTTCAACTTGTAGTTGATTCAGGCCATGGGTACATTTTCTTTCATTTCTGCAGTTTTTTGAAGTTCTCCTCTCTGCTGAGAAAAAGAAAAGTAGTCCTCATTTGAAACACCTTGCGTGAGATGCCTTTGCTCTTTTACTTATTGATCAAGAGACCAAGATCTCCACTAGACTGCCACTTTTGCATTCTTGATTGGTGAGTGAAGACACCTCTGACATTGACACTGACAGAGTTGAAGTTAACAGGGGTTCTCTTTCCATTCTAGATGGATATCTGTATATATTTCTAAGTATAAGAATGTGCACTAGGGAAAACAAACCTGGTGCCATATTTTATTTTCTCTTTGTAGATGAGATTTGGAATCTGAATTAGCAGTGTGCATAAAATGATTGGCATGATTTTTGGCCCAGATGTTGAAGAGCTCCACATGTGGATACAAATGCATATGTTCAAAAACAGGCAGATACAAACAGGGCCGTAGCCAGAAAAAAAATTCGGGAGGGGTTGAAATTTTCGGGTGGGAGTTTGAAAATTTCGTGGGGGGGGGGATTGAAACCTGCCTCCTAGCTCACGGTGAAGCAAAAATCACAGCAGAGGGCAGAGCATCCTTCCATAGCCTGCAGCTCTGCCCCTGTCAACCACCTCCATCAAGTCTGGCCTCCTTAATGAGAACATTCAACACACACACCCAACTTGGTTGCTTCACTACATCGGCTATTGCTGCAAGTAATGACAGTGTGAATAAATTGTCAATATTTGCCTGAGATAGTGCTTGCAGTTCTGGAGGGACTCTTAATTTTTTGCATCTCATAGACTTAGCATGGGGATTTGGTTAACCAGTTAAAATTCATGAGTAAACCAGTTTTTTTAAAAAATCTGAAACATTTCGAGGGGGGGTTGAACCCTTAACCCCCCCCCCCTTGCTACAGGCCTGGACACAAAGGCAAAAGCAGTTGACCACTTCCCTGCTATCTCCTTCCATTCCAATGTACAGAGATGTGGGGGTTTAGACCTCCTCTCCCTGCTTGCTGAGGTGCGAAATAAGGAGGAGCAAAGTCTTCCAACATACGGACACACTATCTGTTTTTGCCAATATTTCTCCAATTTCCCCTAATAGAATAGCAGCACTTGTGTAGTATTTGTTTCCCTGTTGTCTGGTTGAGATGTGAGGAAAGGTAGGTGGAATTCCTGGACTTTCAGTGGGTTCCAGAAGTGTCCAGATAATGCCCTAAAGTTTATTTTTTTGTTTTATGGTAAATCATTATTTAACTGTGCAAGGGATACAATGTAAATTTTGTTGCAATCCTTTTTCCAGTTTACAAGAATTTTCACATGTTACAAGTGTTAAAGAAAGATCTCCCCTTACCTCATTTCCTTAGCTTATAAATGAGAGCTGCCCATAAATTCCTAGACCCCTTGCAGTTCCTTCCAAAATTTAGGAGTGATTCACTTGGCTACATTCATTTTCCATTATGAGTAGACACTTTGCTTTTGTACCAAATTCCCCAAGGAACTAAGTAATGGGAAGTGGCTGATATACATTTAGATCATACACCAATGCCTTGCTCAAAAACATCATTTCAGGATCTCTAATCATGAGTAGAATTTGCTCATAACTGTCCACGAGGGCTGTTCGACTGCAGTGAATTTGACTCATGTGGGACATCTAGAAAATAACTCTGTCTTAAAGCAGTATATGGTCTTCTTTTGTTTATTAGGTTTTTGTTCTAGAGACGAATAAGCTGTTTTCCAGGCATATGGGGAAAAAAACATTACTCATCATCTTAAGTAGTTTTTCAGAAGATATCTAATCAGTTTCACTTCCTGAATACCAGACAAGCTGAGTTAAAAGATTGTAGTAACAGAGTGAGTTTGTTTGGTTTCCAAGATACATTTGTGATATCTGTGCACTAATCCTCCAGAAAGAAGGCCCTCAGATCAGATTTAACAATGAAAATGGCTTTTTTGGAATTAAGTCTTGAGAATTGCCGGACTCTGAAGTTATTATGGATCACAGTTCTTGTTTTCACCTATTGATCTCTCCTTCATAGTAACATTTTCCTGCTTTTCATAGATTGTTCTGTCCTTAATAAATTATCTCCTTGCATATGCTTTTACTTAACCTTGTATGTAAGGATTAAGAAATATTACATTGAACACATTATTTCCACACTATATTCTAGAGCTGAATGTGCAAACTTCTGTGAAAGCTCCCATTTATATCTTTGACTGAAGTAGTTCTCCTGGTGCCTATGGGGCCTTTCACAGCACTCCAGATATCAAAGGAAAGAGTGGGGGCTTTTCCCCTGACATGCCAAAAAGCCCAGAATTGGGGGGGGGGGAATGGAAACTACATCAGCCAAAAACATGCATACAACATGCATATCACAGTTGAAAAAGTGGTATGCCATAGCAGTTAGTGGGCCCCTCGGTGGTGCAGTGGGTTCCCCGCTGTGCTGAGCTACTGAACTTGCTGACCAAAAGATTGACGGTTTGAACGGAGAGTGGGGTGAGCTCCCACTGTTAGGCCCAGCTTCTGCCAACCTAGCAGTTCAAAAACATGCAAATGTGAGTAGATCAATAAGCACCACTTCTGCAGGAAGGTAATGGCATTCCATGCACTCATGCCGGCCACATGATCTTGGAGATGTGCACCGCCTCCAGAGTCAGACATGACTAGACTTAATGTCAGGGGAAACCTTTACCTTTTATAGCAGTTAGCCTTGGAAAGAGAAGATTCATGTTTGCCATGATGTTCACTGGGTAACCCTGTGTCTATCATGGTTTTTCTGAGTTGATATGAGATCAGGAAGGAGGGTAAAAGGAATCATATATGGGGTGCCCTAAGCCAATTGGAGGAGGAGGGTTAAATGGAGTAAATACAGTACAACCTCTGTGTCTGTAGAGGATTCATTTCTGAATTTACTATGGAAACAGAAAACTAAGGATAATAACAAACCTTATTGAAATGAAGGAGTTCTCCCAGGTCATCCTGCAGAACTTAGAAAATTCTAGAAAGGACATATTTTGTGAGATGTGGGTAAGTGAAACCATGAGTAGTGGTCCCAGGGATCATACTATGAACAAGAGGGTGAGACGGGATATGATAATCTTAAGCAGGATTTGTTAGGATTGGAGGTGATCTACCACATTATTAATTAATTAAAAGCTGTGGATTAATTTTTAGTTCACACACGGTGGTTTGTAGGAACATTGTAGGTGTGTTGCTAGGAAATCAACAAGAAAGAGTGTATTGTGCAGAATGCAGCAAGGGTTGCAGGAAGCATTTGGAAGTGGAAGGGTAGAACCAACACACAACTCCAGTCCTGGTGCCCTAAGTACACACACCCTGGTTGTACATTGATATCCGAACCAGATGTAACATGAGGTTATCTGATTGCAGGATAGATTTAGAAGAACCTAATCTGACTTACTTTAGTCTGAACTCTGATTTAAATGGTGTGTGTGTGAGAGAGAGGGAGAGTAAAAAACTATGTGTTAAACAGAGCTTAAGCTGCTCTCTCCTTCCTGAGAATAAGCAAGTTTTTCCCTGTCTGATTCTGGAATATATCAGACAGTCAGTGGCTTATCTGAAGTACAGTGGAACTTCATGGGAGCCTTATATGTTCACTGAACATAGACTGAAAAGATTAAATCAAATGCATCTGTAACAGCAGAGCTGGGGTTCAGTAAAGCTGTGCAAATTTCTTTTTCTTCCTAAAAAAAACCAGAAACATCTGTATAATAAATTACGCATTTCAGAGTCAAACCATTTATAATGTGAAATGAGTTCATAGTTGAGTTTTGAAATTACGATAGGGAATTGTGCACACAACATTCAGTGTTGTTGCTTGATTAGGGTGACTACGACTTAGGTCTATGGAGAGAAACAAGCAAGGGAGAGCTTTTCTAACTAATTTCTTCCAGACCTTGCAGGAGACTTTAGTTCTTCTACTGCATTACTAATTTATGAGTTGAAGGCAATATAATATCTATAAATCTGATTTAATGCATGGCTTTTTCCTGGTTTGTATAGGGCCTGCTCCTCAAAGGACGGATGAAAAGCCTTCATTTTGCCTTCATGTTGCTGTGAGTAGGATCTTTTTGAGTAAAATGGATAAAATCTGGCTATTGAAACAATTTAAACTGATTTTTAAACAATGTTCAAAGTACAAACATCTTAAGACAAAATGTGAATGAAGACAAACTCTTAAATAAAACCCATGTATTTTGGTATCAAAGGCAGGCTGTTAAGGAGAATCAGTCTTGTTTTACACAAGGAACTGATATAACTGGCTCTTTTCAGGCTGAACTTTATAAATATGCCATTACAGATTACTTTTGTGTGCTTGATACAGGGAATCGGGTTCTCATTCTGAAATTTGGGCTTCAGGAATAGCCCTGAACATCTTCATTCATTCTGTCAGGACAGTCTGCTACTCCATTTACTGTCCTCTATGTGACCTCATCCTAATTTCTTTCTTTCTAGTTAGAGATTACTTCCAAAGGTTGAGTCTTTATTTCCTCGTGAGTTCCACACCACTTCTTCCACGACACTCCCTTCTTTCCTATTAAATTTAGGTTTGTTGATTTTCCTTCCATTTGTTTAGTTTCAAAGTAAAATTGCATTCCTAAAATTATATCCTTTGAGACATTCCTTTTGGTTAGACCAATGAGATTTTCACCAGATTTTTCCCCATTTAAGGATGAGATGAGGTTAAGGGAATCTCCTAAACTCCTAAAGCTCCTAAACTCCTAAAGCAGTGATTCCCACCCCTGGTTTAGATGATCAGAAACAAGTCAGAGAAAGCTTAGGCCTTCCCTTTTTGCTACTATTCCATACACAAGAAAAGTGACACATTTAGTTTAGAATAGAGTTGGGAAACATGTGCCCCCCCCCCGACGTTGTTGAGCTGCAGCTTGTAGCGTCCCCCACATTTACCTATGCTGGCTAGAACCGATGGAGTTGCAGTTCAACAACACCAGAAAGGTCTCATCACATGCATCCCTGACTCAGAGCAACAGTTCTGTGTTACATATGAACATGGTATGTTCTTAACATATTCCGTTGACATACTAGAATCCGGAAACCATAGCTTGAACATCTGACAGTAAAGATAAAAAGAGAAGACTTCTTTCACTAACCATTATATAGAACATGCATGGGCAAACTTTGGCCCTCCAGGTGTTTTGGACTTCAACTCCTACAATTCCTAACAGCCTCTGGCCCCTTCCTTTTCCCCCTCAGCCACTTAAGCACTTAAGCATGGGCTCCTTTGCCAGTTAGGTGAAAACCATAGACCCCTTCTCAGAATGTAGCAACAGATAATTTTATGAAACCCGATATAGGAGGACCGGGTTGTGGCACAGCTGGTTGGGAGTCAGCTGCATTAAAATCACTACTGACCAAAAGGTCATGAGTTCGAAGCCTGCCCAGGTCGGAGTAAGCTCCCGACCATTTGTCTAGCTTGCTGTCGACCTTTGTAGCCCAAAAGACAGTTACATCTGTCAAGTAGCAAATTTAGGTACCACTTATGCTGGGAGGCTAATTTAACTAATTTATGATGCCATAAAAATCTCCAGCAGCGTGCAAAAGAATGAGGAAGTACTCCATTGGTGTCACAGGTGGACAGTGAAGCAACAGCTCCCCTGGTGGCCAGAATTCAAAGCAAACCCTCATAAAGCTGGAAAGTTAAATAGCCTCTGTGTGTCTGTCTATATATGTTGTGTGTCTACAGCATTGACCATTTGCCATGTATATGTGCATTGTGATCTGCCCTGAGTCCCCTGAGGGGCGAGAAGGGCAGAATATAAATACTGTAAATAAATAAAAAATAAATAAATAATATCTTTAAATTAAATTTCAGGATATATTCAAAACTATGTTTTACAACTTTCCCAAAATTTTAATGCCTGAAAACTACTGTAATTTTTTGTATACATTTCTAACTGAAGGAAATATAGATTTCAGTCAGAGAAAAGGAAGATAATAAGTGGGGGTTTTTTTCAGTTGAAGCTGATACACCCCCTGAAATCTTTCCACAGACCCCTTGTTAAGAACCTCTGTTCTATACCTTCTTTCACAACACAATCTCTGGGTTTAAGGCTTCTCACACATCCTAGCAATCCTGAGGACTTTAGCTTCAGTTCCTCATCTTTAGCTTTGCTTCCAAGCCAGCATTGCTAAACTAAAACCACCTCTAGTCCCCCTTTCCCTTCTTTCTCTCTCTCTGTCTCTTCTCTGACTCTCAAGGTCTCAGAAGTCGCCCGATCCTGGTTTATGTGATTATCTGAATTGAGTATTTTGTGTCTATTCTCCCCCTTTTACTGCCCACTTCACCAAAATCCCAGAACATATCCTTTTTTCCTTTATTATCATTATTATTTTTCTTCCTATCCTGTATTTACTTTTTTACTCACTAGACATCCATGTCTTGCATTTCGTATCCCCATATGTCTTATTATAACCCCTTGTGTGGTCTTTTGGATAGGATGTGCTTCCTTAGCATCACACCACCTTGTATCAATTAATCTGAATCACATGGTTGAATGGGGTGTATATCTAACAAAGAGAAATACTTCTTAAATTCAAGAACATTGAGTTTTTACTATCCTGTAATTAAAATTTCCCTGCTGTAAAAGCTTTGAAAGAATGTTATTAAGGCCAACTGTGATTTGTGTTCAGTGCAGTGAAGAATTCTACTCCCCACTAATCAGTAGTGTGGATGTAATTTTCTTTTAATTCAGTGCCTTTTCCATTTATAGTCAAACCTCCATATCCACAGGCTCTGAATCCATGAATTCAAATATTTGAAAAAATATTCCAAAACACAAATCTTGATTTTGCCATGTGTCGAGTAGTGTTCTCAAGGGTAAGCATGAGTTGCCTGAAAGGCTGAGAAGGGCAGTATACAGATACAGTAATTTATTTATTTATTTATTTATTTAGGGCATTTATATCCCATCCTATCTCAACCTCCGCAGAGGGACTCAGGGCGGCTAACAACCGGCACAGCACAGTGGCCACAACAAGAAAAAGCATAAATATACATATTATAATAAAAACAATATGAAAACATTATAAAAACATTAAAACACATCTCCGATTTAAGTCGTCATCCTAAAGGCAGTCCATCATAGTCCATTAAAACCGTAACTTTGCCAGCCAGTCAGTCTAGTCCACAAAGCCCTGATCCCACAGCCAGGATTGCACTTTTTTTCAGAGGTCAGGAGAAATGAAGCAGATCTGATTTCGTTTGGGAGGGAATTCCATAGCTGAGGGGCCATCACGGAGAAGGCCCCATCTCTCGTCCCCACCAAACGTGATTGAGATGGTGGGGGGACTGAGAGCAGGGCCTCCCCTGACTATCTTAAGGTCCTAGGTGATCCATAGTAGGAGATACATTCAGACCAGTAAACTGGGCCAGAACCGTTAAGGGCTTTATAGGTCAAAGCCAGCACTTTGAATTGTGCTGTATCCTCCTGCCATTTCATAGGCTTTCTCCGGCACTCATTTTGAGTTGTTTGCCATTTTGTATACTGCACCATTGTGGGACTTCAGCATCCACAGATTCTGGTATTCATGGGGGGTTCTGGAACCAAACCCCAGCAGATACTCGGAGCACTGTAGTTCTTCCTTTCAACATTCTTTCATTGGAACTTAAGGTTTAGGATCAAACCGATGTTTCGGTTTTGCCCCCACTTCAGTAGGGAATTAATAATGCGTCACAGTGGATAGAGTGGGGTGCTAAACCTCATATGCAAGACAGTAATAATTATTAAGAGAGAAGTGTCCACTTCTCTTGTTTATTTATTTCTTTATTTTGTGTCAATAAGTATAAAACCAATAAAATAGAAGAACACAAGTGGTTAAATAATTTTAGACCAAAAATGGGCAAAGTGACCACATTGTCTGTAGCTTTAAACAATTCTTCCTCTGTGCACGAAGCAGTGGATTGTGGGCAAGCATACAGATGCTGGGTTATTGGTTCTGCTCCACAGTCGCACAAGGTGGAAAATTCTTCGAAGTAGTTCCATTTTGCCAGGCTGTCTTTTTATCTGCCCACTTCTTATCTGAATCTGTTCAGGGACTTCCAAGTTGCCCCTTCTTGGTTTGCCCTGGAGGCAGACTCTTGGCCATCCAATTGGGATTTCCTGGTTTTGCTGCCTAGAGGGATACTCTTGCTGTTGCTGGGTGAACATTAAGAGGACTGGTGGTTCTCATGAAGCTTTTTCTTGATTTGAGTCTGTGGGGAGGAGGTTGATAACCATGCAGAGGATGGCTTTCACAGTGTTCAACCTTACTTCTCTCAGTTAGTAGCAACTTCCCATTGCACATTTGGGGGGAGGGGCAATGCCAGCTAGCTTATAGAGTCTATCAACAGGTGTAGGTTTGAGACATCCCGTGTTCTGCATGTTTCATTCAATGCTGTATTCACCTGTTTCATGTGGGCAGACTTGTGCCAAACAGGGCAGGCCTCGGAGCATGGTGGAGGCTCCATCTTTGGAGGTTTTTAAACAGAGGCTGCTTTGAATGTGATTTTCCTGCTTCTTGGCAGGGGGTTGGACTGGATGGCCCATGAGGTCTCTTCCAGCTCTATGATTCTATGATTTTACTCAGCAGTTGAGTAAGAGAAGGCCAGGACTGATGTTCTTATTAATGTTGGGTCTGCACCCTATGCACTTCCAGTACGTTTCCGCAGGATGTTATTACATGCAACTACTTTGTGCTCGGTGTTCATGCAGTGTTTCCTAAATGCTAGTGTTCAATCTAAGGTGACCCCAAGATATTTAGGATTGGAACAAAAGCATTGCTGTTTATATGGTAGGTTACCTATCATGGGCAGTGCTACTTCTATTGAATAGTGCTGCCTCCTTGTGGCGGAGTGTGATGGAAATGCTGACTTCCCTCAATAACTGATCTTTTAATTTCCTGCTCTTCCTTTAATCCCCTTCCTTTATTCATAGAATATTTATTCAGTTCCTGAATATGTATCCAGGTACACTGTATCATAACATTTCTGACTTTTGTCTGACGCCTGATAGATGTAATATTTCTTTTTCCATTGCTTTCCATTTCTTCCAACTTG